CCTGCACCTGCGTGGGAAACCTGGAAGAAGCTCCTGGCTCCTGGCTTCGGATTGGTCCAGCCTGGCTGTTGCAGCCATCTGGGGAGTGAACCAATGGACGGAGGACCTCTTTCTCTCTCCCTGCCTCTGCTTCTCTGTAACTCTGCCTTTCAAAGAAATAAATAAATCTTAAAAAAAAAAAAAACACCTCAGCACGTGTAAATTAATCCAAAAGCCACCACAGGGCTTGATTTATCCAATGACTCATCTCTCTCTCTCTCTCTCTCTCTCTCTCTCTCTCTCTCAACAGCCCCCTTCTCTCATTCTCTTTTCCTCCTCATGACTTCATGGCTTCCAAGCATTAAAGACCTAAAAATTTAACTTAAAAAATTAACTTCCAAGTATCATTCTGAAAGGCTGTGACCATTTGCCATCATAGCACAGTGGCCGCTGGCTTAGGTGAATGAGCGCTGACAGAGGTGTGAAAATGAGCACACAGAACTTGCTACTAAGATGCGACCATCAGGGAGGCTGAGGAAAAGGGCACGGGACCTCCCTATGGATTTTCTGGAACTCCCTGTGAATCTATAAATCTTTAAAAATAAAAAGCTAAAAACCAGAAGCTGTTGCTATCACAGCAAACCACTGTTTCTATTTACACACGGTGGTCAGCATTCTGTTCTGTTTTGGTATGACTTTCTGAGAACCACACTATCTTAAAGAGCCATAACTTCTATATTAAATTAAAACATTGTTGTGTAAAAATAAAATCATAACATGAAATTCAAACAAATAAAATTTGCTTTGAAAGTGACTATATTAATGCTAAAAAACATCTGCAGAATGTGCAACAATTAACTTCCTTAATCTTTCCTTCCTAACCATACATCTTTTCCTCCTTTCCTTAACATGAAAAAATGCTTATCATAAAGTTAGTATTCCAAGAAAATAAAATGCTCTGCCTGCCAAAGCATTTGTTAGGCTCATCGGCCACTTCCCTTCTGGCCTGCGGGTTTTCAAATGCAACAAACACCACCAAGTACGTTCCTTGTCACTTCAAAATTCTCAGGGGCGGGAGAAACCGGCACAGAGGTTAGACTGCCCTTCAGCCCGTTTGTAAATCATGCGTCTCACAAGTCTTCCTGCTGTTTAAAGCAACCATGCCACCAGCAATGTCTGTGAGATAAATTATCAGCTTCGAACTGTTCGCTTTTCCATTTTTGGTGTTTCTTGCAGCAAAGCCATTTATTTTTACTCACAGATTCGAAACGACTAGAATAACTTTGATATGCTGCTGGAAGGAAACAGCAAATCTTCAGCAAGTGTTAATTCATCACCAGGTTAAGGTCTAGAAAACAACAGTAAACAGGCAGATAACTGGCTCATGGTTAGACCCCAGGGAGCACTGCAGGCCTCCTTCTGAGGATGAAGGGGAGCAGGAGACAGGAGACCTCTGAGGTCTGAGGATCAGCTCAGGTAGAAAGAGCAGCCCAGCTTGGGCACCAAGTGGCCCAAAGCTGGCCTCATTGCACACAGAGTGATCCAAAAGCTCAGGTTTCTCCAGGTCAATCAGTACAGGAAAGGGAAGTACATGGCCACCTTCCCCGCCTGGGGCAGCCTGAGGCTGGATGTCTCTCTCTTTCTCTCTCTCTCTCCCTGGGAGTGGTCCAGACGTGGAGGCAGGCACGGCCCCCTGAAGGCCGGACTCTCAGGGAGTGTGCACAAAGCGAAATGCACGTCACTGCAGGTCTGCCTTGGTAGTGGGCAAGGAGGAAGGGTGCGCCAGAGAAACGGGGCTGTCCCAGCAGCTGTCCTCCAAGCCCTAATGTGAGAACAGCACAGGAATAAACTGTCAGGGTGGTCCCATGACAGAGGAGAATTTTCCAGAACCAGCCACACAGCAAACAGCCAAACCCACTCCTTAGGGAGAGCAAGACCCCCAGGAGGCGGGTGTGTGCCACACCCTGGGTTGGGAAGGGGATGATCAACACAGAGCCTCAGCACAGGAACCACGAGAAACACCTGGGCAGACCCACTGGACAGCCTTGGCTCAGGAAGGTGACACTGCGGAGCCCCAGGCTCCTCTTCCACAGCAGGGATTTGGCTACAGGGAGTGCTGAAGGTCACGTGCAAACCCAGCGCCCACAACAGCCACAGCACCACACATGCACACAACGTACTCAGCTTCCACACAGAGACCCCGTGTACCCTGTGCAGCCCTGTGTGGCAGGTACCATGGCTGCCCCCACCCTACAGGTGATAAATTGAGGCTCAGGTGGTTATCCAACTCCCCCAACAGAGGAGGAGTCCCTTTCAAACTCAGGAAATGCAAGGTCCCCATCTGTTGCACACAGCACCTCCCTGTGAGTAGGGAGCAAAGCTGATAAATAACTTTATCACACACATAAAAAAAGTACCAGCTACGGGTCTAGAAGCTTTAGTTATACTTATTGTTTTGTGCATTTATATTTAATATTTGTTTTGTATATTCAAACTTTAGTCCTATATGCACATCATTTTCCCTATTTACAAAAAAATTAACATCAAATAGACAGGAGACTTAAAAAGTTATTATGGCCTCAGCTAGAAAAAACCTCACGCATTCTGTATCAGTGAAGGCTGCTTGAATCACGGATCCAATGCATTCTTTAGCCACTTATAATAACTTTCAGATCAGGAAAAGCGGGCATAGAGATGATCATTTTGGGTGTACGTGCAGCCAGAGGGAGTTGTCAAATGTCTACCTAGGAGCAGGGAACTTTGTGTTAAGAGCCCCATGATTCCAAGAGCTCTGAGCACCTGCCCAGGTGGCTCCCTGTGCAACCTGGCTTGCTGAGCCCCGGGAACGTCAGGAAGTCCTGGCTAAGGGAGAGCCTCTGGGCCCCCCTTCCTGTCGAGTGAATGGCATCCTTTCTGCTGTTAACAGATGCTCTGTTTCACAGCAGAAAAACACAAATGGATACAGACACTTTAGGAGTGCCAACCACACCTCTGGAAGGCGTGCGTAACTGAAAACTGACCAGAAGCATCTGCTGCCCAAAACCCACCACAAACACCATAGGCAGTCAGGGAGCAGGGATGTGCACACATGACCACAGCTGGCTGCTGATGTCACAGTTCACATCCCCACGATGCCAGGCCCATCTGGGCCCTGCAGGGTTCTGCCTGCCACACATCGCCAGGGGCAGAAGGAGGTGTGCACGGGACCTCTGTGCAAACGCCTGGGAAAGGAGACTTGTCTCCAGACACGCTTTTCCTCCTTCGAGGCTCACTCTCTGCCAGGGGAGGCTAAGGACTTAATGACTTAATTGCTCTCCATCTCCAAGGACGGCGCCTCCTGGTCGGCACATAGGAAGCGTCATCTCAGAATCACTGGATATTAATTAATTGTCACCTGCCAGTCCGGAGCCTGCTCTTGAGCTACACTGGGGCTTTTCTAGGCTCTGTAGAGCATGCTGTGACAGGACAGGTGACCATCACAAGGCTGGGTCTACTGTCACCACATTATGTGAGACCTAGAGGTTCTCTTTTAATTAAAATTAACCTTGTAAAAGCCCAAGCCTATGAGCTAGGAACAGGCACTGAGCACACCTATGTTGCCTCAGGCTTCCTAACCACCAACGCAGGCCTGGGAGGGGAAAAATGCCAAACCCCTTCCCAATACGAAGCCCAAGGAACCCCACTCTTCCCTTCTCCAAGACGCGAATGAAGAAAATGAACCCTGAGCACTGCAGAGAACGCAGCTGCGTCAGCAGGGCCCAGGCCTCGCGTGCACCACCATTGCTCCAGCTCTCAGCGGAACGTCCTGCTTTTTTTTGCAGCTGAGCAACTTCAGGAATACTTAGCAGACATTGCCCAGGCAGTCAACAGCATAGATTTTCCCACCAGGACTTCAGATCTAGATCACGCTGTGAAGAAAGAAGGGCTCAAACAACCACGCATCAGAGGCTTCTCCCACTCAGCTGCCTCTCCCCAAAACCCAGCACTGCACTGGGCTTCCATTTAATAAGGATTCTCTAGAGGCAGACGTGAAGGGAGCACCCCAGCTGCACGTCTGACTGCTGGTGTTTTCACACAGTGCCAGCTGCCCAACTGCTCTGCCCTGACTGGAGGACTTGGGCTGACTGAAGGTGAAGTGGCACAGCTTTTGCCCAACTGCCTTGTGCAAGACCCAGAGGCCCGACTGCCGAGCCGCCCTGGACTCAGTGCCCTGCTGACCAGAGGGTTCACTTAGTCACTGCGCTGCAGCTGCTCCAACTTGAACGTCAGCGTGTGCTCCCAAAGAGATAGTTCTAAGGCTGCAGGACACAGCCGACTTCTGGGACTTTTTTCTATTTTACTTTATAATCGTGAAATATAAACTGCTTTGGGGGAATTTCTGCTGGTGCATTGAAAAGTTTCCACTCTGCTCTGAATAAACAATAACAGAAAATGCTCCCTCGACCGGCAGGAAGGGGCCCTGCCCTGGCAAGTTCTTGTTGGAAGGGAAAAGCACTGCCACGCAGTGGCCCCTCGCAGTCACCCAGCAGTCCACGCGCCCAGCAAAGCTGCTCCAGACGAACAGCCCCACAGGTGGGACAGTCTGTCCTTAAATGTCAGCGCTTGCAAGAGGGACCCAGCCAGAACGGCTTCTTATAAATGGGATAAACTACGGACAATGAACAACAGTGGAAGCCCACATGCTTGTTAACTTGCTCTCTTTTCATAATAGGTACTTCACACCCTAATAAGCTTAAGTGTGTGCTTTCATTTAAATCACAGAAATGATTCCGACAGATCTCTGCAAGTGAATTACCACATTTTGCCATAGGCGTTGCTAACTGACCCAACTGCTCAGTCAAGTTGCTGTCTCCCCGCATTCTTCCTTCAAGTATTTATAGGTCTGGCAAACTTGTAGAAGCTAAAGACGCCACACTAAAAAGTTGTGCTTCTAATTTCTGCAGGAAATGTCTTTGAGGGGCCCCATATCTTATGAAATGGGCAGTTATAACATGCGCAGAAGAGAAAACTCCAAAAATTACCTCACAGGGCCAGTGCTGTGGTGTAGTGGGTAAAGCCGCTGCCTGCAGTGCCAGCATCCCATATGGGCGCCAGTTCGAGTCCCAGCTGCTCCACTCTGATCCAGCTCTCTGCTATGGCCTGGGAAAGCAGTAGAAGGTGGCCTAAGTCCTTGGGTTCCTGCACCCATGTGGGAGGCCCAGACGAAGCTCCTGGCTTCTGGCTTTGGATCAGCCCAGCTCTGGCCATTGTGGCCATTTGGGGAATGAACCAGCAGATGGAAGACTTCTCCCTCTGCCTCTTTGTAATTCTGCCTTTCAAGTACATAAATAAGTCTTTAAAAAAATACAAGAGGAAAAGTGGGAAAGGAATAAAAACTGCAGAAACACACAGAAAATACCTAGAAATGCACAAAAAGCCAGGGAGAAAGGTTGGCACTGACCAAAGCCATGGACGTACAACTGACATCTCAAAGGACAGTTTGTGCCACTCAGCCATTGGGTTCATACACAGGACTAACAGCGATGGACGTGTCAACAGTTTTAAGGCCAATGCGGGCTCCTGGGTAGTAAGGCAAACGCTCGGGGGCTTGCAGGAGAACAGCCTGGCCCCTGAAAGTCTACTCACTCAGGGGTTCTGGGCCAACTGTAGAACCATGCTGAGCCTCACCTTCCAATGTGGGTAATTACCCCAATGGGGCCAGGGTGGGGTGAGGGGGGTGACAGAGGCTCAGAGAGGTGCGTGTTAAGGCATTGTGCAAATTGTAAAGTGCTGTACAAATGCAAAGTGTTATTATGATTATGACATCAGTGCTTTACTATCTAAATTACAGGGACGGCACACTTATTATCAACATGTTCAAATACAATCTTGCATACATTTAGATTTGCTTTTAATTTTGCAGATGTTTTCAGTTCTTAAAGGAGTTGTGGAATCACCTAGTTCTGACATTTTATGGAAGTTGAAGCTTGGAAGGTAAATTCCAATCTGCTTTCTCTTCCACTATAACTACCAACAAATTATATGGAAAAAAAACACCTGATGCCAGGTACTGAGAAAAAACTGTAGCAACAACACTTTTCAGGGAACAATACATTTATATGCACACTTGCATTAAAAGTATCATGAACACCGGATGTCTATGACACTTTCTGGCTTGCAAAAATTATATAGTATATTCTTACAGACATTTGCCAAAGTTTTTCATTTGTAGTCATTTGTCAAAACTGTTCTGTCTCTCAAGAAGAATTCATACAAGGTTACAAAAAAGAGCCAGAAAGACATTACACTGACTGACAAACATGTTTCATACCTAAGGTCTGTCACAGAATCCAAAAATGTCAGAGAAAGAAATCCATAAGTATCAGGGCAAAGTTTCTAATTCTCTATTAACTTCGGAGCAAATCAAAGCCAAGACAAAGTTGTGGAATAGGTCGTTTTTAAAAGCCCCTTCAAACCATTCCTTAAAACAAAGAATAATCTCCAATGACCTCTTCTTTTCTTCCATTTAAACTTAATCAAAATTGGGTGCAATCAGGGGTTCTGTTTTATTTTCTAATACTATATTAAAAAATACACCAGTAAAAAAGTAAGCTCTAGTTAGAGCCATTAGGTCTTGCAAGTGAGTATTAGAATGAACTAAAAACAGTTTATCTTTCTTGTAATGACTAATGGTATAAAAATTAACTAGGAGACAACTGTGTAAGTGAAGTAAAACCACTATAATTAAATGTCCTTACAGCTTTCAGGTATTCCATGTTTGCAAGTATGATAATAATAATAATAACAATAGTAATAATAATAAAACCCACAGATTTTTGAGATTTACGAAACATTTTGAAAAACTTTCTAAGGTCCTATAACCGTGATGAGAAAATCTCAGGATACACTTGCCCCTCTTTGAGGACCTGAAAAAAATTCAATAAATGATCTTATTCCAGCCACAAAAATAATGAAGAATTCATGAGAACAGACAAAAAACTAAATCATGCAGTTTTTTCACATATAACTGTCTGTTGTGTCACAGACTATGTGCGATGTATTAATTTTACCCAAAACCTGAAGTAAAAGAAAGGGGTCAGCAAAGGCAATGCACCTGCTAAAGCAATGAATATGTCACCTACTGCCTGCCAGCCTGCATGGCATAGCAGAAAAACTGCCTTGGGTCATAGTTCTGCTTTTAAGATGAAATCCTTCATAAATGCTATTAAAACAACTGCAAGGTAAACTCTGGTCCTTACTCCTGTCTTTCCTTTCAGGCAAAGGTGTATGTACACAAAGTAACCCCAGCAGCCACATTGTGTCCTTGTTACAAATCTATTTGTAGGCAGATGATCTCTGCAAACACACATGTAATTCTGTACCATTCTGAACACTGATTCAGGAAAGAGATGTGTCTTCTAGTGGCTCCATTGATTAGAACGGCATTTTCTCAGTTTAGTGTGATTCCGAATGTATTCATCATGTCTGGAATTCTACACTTTCTTTTCTCTTTGCTGTCTACAGCAGGAGTTAAATAAAGGACATGAAGTGGTCATTTTGCTTACAACAAGTTTTATCAAAAAATCAATCTGTTGGGTAGAAAGTTAAGGCTCTGAACTATAATCTGGATTGTACTTCAATCATTCACAGCTGGTTGTTACTCTAACAAAAGATGGTCCATTTTATTTTTTAATGTAAAATGTGTCACTTCTTGGGCACCTTTTGACATAGTGAGTTTCTACATGGTCATTTAGAAAAATAAAGCATGGAATTCTACATCTTAGTCCATTTACAGCTGCAGAAACCTTGGAGGCCCAGATACACATTCATCTGAAAAACTGCCCCTTCATGGAGGTGGAATTAGAAAGTCCCTTTTACAGGTACCCCTGGACTCTCAGGGGATCTTGTGGAAGGTACTGCCCTACAGCAAGCAGCTCCAGCACCCACATGAGTCCCTGCAGGGCAGGCAAAGCCCTCCTGCCCCTCTGGCTTCCACCCTGTGTGCAGGTTAGGCACTGGCAGCTGTGTCCAGGGTCTCCCGCAGGGCTGGCACTCCCAGGCTGTGGGATGCACCCCCACCTCTCAGGCAGAGGATGGGGTAGGGTCCTGTAATGCACATTCTCTCAGGTTCCTAGGAACCCTTGCTGCTGTCCACAAAGGGGAACTCTAAAGGACTGATTTGCTCAGGAAACATGAACCTGTTCCTGGACCCCCAAAGCAGCTCAGGAGATGAAGAAGCAGCCAGGCTCTGAGAACAAAGTAAGGGCTCCACATAATACACAGCCCAGGCTCCTCGGGACTTCTGGGGGCATTCAGATGCGAAGTTTCTTCAAAGAGTCCACAGAAAGTGAGAATTATTTTTTAAAAAAATGTTATCCTTGATTTCAACTATTTTTGTACCAAAATAAACTTATACTGAATTTCATTTTCCCATGAACTTTCTAAAGTGACCCCTAGGGGGGCTCTGACTCAGCAGGTCTGGGAGGCATCCTCTCTCCCCAAGTCCCTCAGGCGATGAAGCACCTCCACTGCTTAAAACAAAACCAAGGCCGGTGCCGTGGCTCAATAGGCTAATCCTCTGCCTGTGGCGCCGGCATACCGGGTTCTAGTCCCAGTCAGGGCGCTGGATTTTGTCCCGGTTGCCCCTCTTCCAGTCCAGCTCTCTGCTGTGGCCCAGGGGTGCAGTGGAGGATGGCCCGAGTCCTTAGGCCCTGCACCCACATGGGAGACCAGGAGAAGCTCCTGGCTCCTGGCTTCGGATCAGCGCGGAGTGCCAGCCGCAATGGCCCTTGGGGGGTGAACCAACGGAAAAGGAAGACCTTTCTCTCTTTCTCACTGTCCACCCTGCCTGTCAAAAAAAAAACCAAAAAAACAAAAAAACAAAAAAAAAAAAACAAGACCCCACAAAATTCAGCAATGCTACTTATGTAAGAACCAGGGAACCCATCTGAGGATTTGCATCAATATACAAATACTGCATTTCAAATACACATACATCTTGTTATTTATCAGTGGCTGCTAACTGCAAGCCAGTCGGGGAGTCTCAACAGAAGTCAGGAACCCCACACCCTCACAGAGTGAGTGTGAGACAGGTGGAGATGGGAGGCTGCGCCAGGCCATGCTGCTCCAGGCTCACAGGCAACGACTGCGAAGGAAAGCCTCACAGGACCACAGTCGAAGGCCATGCTGCTCCCCTGGCTCCGGTCCTGTATCTTCCACTGCCTTCTGGACGTTCCCATCTGCACACTTCCAGCTCAGTGCGTCTAAAAGCTAAATTTACAGTGGACTCCACTTTCCTTCCCTTTCCTGTGATCTCAGCTTCCCTGACCCTGCCCAAGTTCCACATCTGGAGGCTGTGTGTCTGCCTGCGACTCAGTCTCTCTTGTGCTCACTGCATTCAACTGTCAATCAGTAGTACCAGTTAACATTTTATACCCGCCCCCTGTCACTGCAGTAGGCACCGATCTGTTTCCACAGCTGCCACAGCAACCCATGCTCCATGCTGTGGCCAGAAACATGCTTCCAAAACACAAGACCATGCAGTCAGTTCCTGCCTTAAAAGCCCACAGTGACTCCTCCTTCACATGGGTAGGGTAGTGGAGCTCTGACATGTGCACAGCCTCAACACTCACCCCTTTTCTCCTGCCACACTGGGTCACCAGAGCCACACCAGTGCCACACTGGGTTCCTGGGGCTTGGGAGAACCCTGCTTCCCCCTGCACTTCACCTGTTCTCTGGGAAAACAATCATTCAAGTGAGGCTATACCTGGTCTCCTCTCCAGGTAGAAATAAAACAATATTTAGGGGCCTGCACTGTGGCAAGGTGGGTAAAGCTGCCATCTGCAGCACTGGCATCCCATATGGTTCAAGTCTTGGCTACTCCACTTCCTATCCAGCTCCTTGTTAATGTGCCTGGGAAAACCGCAGACAACGGCCCAACTGCTTGGGCCCTTCCACTCATTGGGGAGACCTGGAAGAAGCTCTTGGCTACTGGTTTCGCTCTGGCCCAATTCTGGCTGTTGTGGCCATTTGTGGAGTGAACCAGCAGATGGAAGATCGCTCTGATCTGTCTCCCCCTCTAACTCTGCCTTTCAAATAAATAAATATTTAAAACAATAACTAATCTCCAAAGACAACTTTATCCCATGCAAAATGCTATCATAGCTCCTGTGCTACCATTCACACTTCTCATTCTGAGCTCTTGCTTCTGCTGACAGACTTCTGGATACTTAGGGCAAGTACTGCACCCAGTTCCTCCCTACATCTCAAAAAAAGATGCAGCGTAAAAACTGCTCATCATGGTTCAAAAATATGAAGAAAAACAGGCATCAATACTCGTCCTTAAACTTGAAGAATAAACAACGGCACTTAACTACCACCAGGCCAAGTGCGCGCTTGCAGGTGTGTTTGGGGCCAGGTACAAGGCATTCTCATCTAACTATGAGCTCCCTGAGCTGTCAGCCAGGCCTTTCATTAGCAGTCACAGGCACAGCTGGAAAGGACGGCGGGCCTCTGAGAACCCAGCTGAGTGGGACGTAACTGGGAGCAGAGGGAGACACTCTCCCCCGACTGCTTTCCCACACACCCTCTAAAGCTGCTGCTGAAGTCAGTAGGAGTAGAAGTTATTTAAGTATATGCAACTCACAGATGCTGGTCAGCTTGCCAGACACTTACACTGTCCTTCCGGGCCTTTGGAGGCCGTGCTCAGTTCACAGGGGCTTGGTAAGCACACCCCCACCACTCACAGGGCCCAGCCACCCTTCCCAGCTGGCTTAGGGCACTTTCCAGACAACCACACTGGGTGCCTCTCTCTAAATGTTTAAGATGGAAGCTTTGCAGAACGACTCTACAAGAGGGAAAATTACAGTCAAACCAGTTCTTTGGTTAAGTCTCAAAGCCCAGATCCTTGTCCAAGTTCACACAAACTGGTCTGTGCCTATGGGCTTGAAGGCGGGCAGCCAAGGGCTGGAATTTTCTCAGAACAGGCAAGCTTTCAGGGAAAACTGAGAAGGAAGGTATGGGAAAACACTATGACACCAAACGGGGTATGTAACAACCAAAGCTTAGAGTTATACTCTATTCTCTGTGTGCTGCTGGTTCAAGAATAAACCAGAAATAGTTAACCAAGACCAAAACGGCTCCTGACTAAAGTAACACCTGTCCGGAGTGACAGAAGGAAACAGAATGGAACTGGCTCAGCTTGGTGTGGACCTGAGGCTTTAGGTTGCATTTCCTGGGAACAATGCAATGGAGAGTCACACCCTAAAACTCTGAACTTTTCTCAAAACCCATCTCAAAACTTGCTTCTACAAGCACATCACGACAGAGGTTCTAAGTCAGAATTAGAACATGCGTACACACACACCGGTCAACACATCAGTGGCAAGGGCCAGGGGATTATGCAGGTGGGCACCCAGGCTTCTGATCCCAGCCCTGTGCCAGCACCAGGGGCACCTGCCAGAGCCACTTTGCCTCAGCCCTCCCTCACAATCAAGCCCTAAAATCTCAAAGCTGGCTCATCACTCCTGCCAGAAAGGCCTGCAACACTAGCTCCGAGTCCTGGAGCTCAGACAAAAGTCGGAGTGTTTTCTTTTTAAATAGGACCAATCCTTCGTCCTCGCTAACAGCGCCTCTAAAAACATCTCAAACATGTTAGTGCTGTCACGTGAACCAAGCGCAACCATGCAGCACAATGGATTTTGGCAGCTGGCTTCTTCAAACACCAGAGAAAGGTTTGTGAAAAACGATGGATTATGAAACCAAATGCATGAAGCCAGAAATGACTGTTCAGAGCCGGCTGGAGCTATCACCAGGTTTCTGCCTGTCTGTGCGATAGACAAGACTCTGAAAGAGTAAAAAGGAAATTTGCTAGTATTTAGCGACTTGCAGAATCCCATTTCCAGTAGCTGTCATAACTCTCCTCCCTTTTAACTCATGATACCAGGCACGCACAGTGAATACTGAATTCACAAATACTGAACTCAGAAAGGGGATCGAGAAGCTTGGCGCTTGGATGTGACCTGTTCACCTCCACCCGCAGCTGGAGTGAGAAGACAAGGCCGGCTGCCAGGCCAGCCAGGGCATCCATCCTTCGTCTTGGATTCCCTACCACCTCTGCTTTGGTTTCTCTTTAACACGGCCCAGGCCCACTGAACCAGGGGTGGCCAGGCTCATCCCCACAGGAAGCTTGTGGCTGAGAATTCCTGAGCTCCTGGGAACACCCCAGGACCTCCTCCTCAGCAGTGCCTTCCCTGGAGCGAGGATCCAGGCCTTGTTCAACTCCCCTAGCAAGCTTGGCTCAGGGATTTGGTGACAGAGCTGTCCCCACCAGGCTGAGGAACCCTGAGGAGAGC